GGTAAAGGGAAGGACAACACACACTACAGGGGAAGTCAGCACAACTTGACTAAACCAAAAACTAAAAAGACCAGACTTAATGGTTTGACTAAAACTGGAGGGACCCTGGAAGACATGGCCCCCAGACTCTCTGTTAGCCCAGAACTAAAACCATTCTCGAGGCCAACTCTTCAGACAAAGATTAGACTAGACTATGGAACATAAAATGATACTCGTGAAGTGTGCGCTTCTTAGCTCAAGTGGATACATGAGACTAAACGGGCAGCTCCTGTCTAGAGGTGAGATGGGAAGGCAGAGAGGGTCAGGAGCTTGTTGAATGGACATGGGAAATCCAGGGTAGAAAAGAGGAGTATGCTGTCACAGTACAGGGAGAACAACTAGGGTCACATAACAATGTGTGTGTAAATTTTTGTATGAGAGACCAACTTGAATTGTAAACTTTCTCTTAAAGCACAAAAGAAAAAAAAGTCAAAAAAGAAAAATCAGTGTAGTTCACCAGGTTAACAGAAATGGAGGAAAGTATATGATCACCTCAATACACAGAGAAAAAAGCATTTGATAAAATTTAGCATTCATATATGATAACAACATGCAGAAAAATAAGAATAGAAAGAAATCTCCTTAATCTGATAAGATTATCTCTAAAAAAAAAAAAAAAACCCTTATAACTACTATTATATTTAATAGCTAAATAATGACACTTTCTGAATTCAGGAGCAAGAGAAACAAGACAAGGATGTCCACTATCACCAGTTCTATTTAAATTGTGCTGGAGGTTCTAGCCAGTGCAGTAAGATAAGAAAAAGAAATAAAGGATATATAGATCCAGAAGTAAGAAGTAAAACTGTCAGTATTCGCAGATGACATTATTGTGTATATAGAAAAATCAAAGAAATCTACAAAAATTATTATAATTAATAGATAAACTTAGCAAGGTTATTGGATACAAAGATAATATACAAACTCAATTGTATTTCTGTATACTAGCAACCAACAATTGGAAAAAAATTTAAATAAACTTAATGGCATAAAGAAACAGCAAATACATAGGAACAAATAAAGTGTGTAAGACCTCTAGATTGAAAAATACAGAATGTTGTTGGAATTAAAGAGTACTTAAATGAGATATACCCCATGATTCGCAGACTGAAACACTTAATATTCTTAATATGTCAGTTCTCCCTAAATTGATCTACTCAATGCAGTCTTTTTTTTTTTAATCTTGAAATCTGTTTTATTATAGTGAAGAGTTCTTTAACTTATATGATTAATCATGTCATCACCATGGTTAGTACGACTTAGATCATTTAGGTTATTGGAAATAATTTAGTTAAGAGAGTTCACTTCAGCTTACTGCAAACACACAACATATAGAAGCTAAATGAAAGCTTTCATTTCAGCTCAAAACATATTAATTTATTAGCCTAGAAATTCTGTCAAACCTCCTGACTAATCAAAAATATGTATTTGAGCAATTCACTGTTACGAATTTAGCCTTTTGGTATTTTTCCCCTCTCTTTGAATTTCAGTTTTAGACTGTTGCTGAATTCCCATCGTAATTAATTAGTTTATAAGTAATTTATACCCCCTCTTCTCCCAAGAAAGGGTTTAAGGAGGCTCAATGCAGTCTTTAAAAAAAAAAAAAAAAGTTTGCTGAGCAAATTAGTTTCCCATTCAACACACTGTACACAAAGTGTTTCATTCAATGCAATCTTATGGATAAAAAACTACATTTTTTTTCTTGTTGGAAATTGACAAACAGATTATAAAATTTATACAGAAATTTAAAGGATCCGGAATAGCTAAGACAATATTGTAGGAGAAAAATTTTAGAGGGATTACATTTCCAAATATTAAGACTTACTATAAAGCTACAGAAAGGGGCCCTGTTGACACAATCGTTTGGCGCTCAGCTGCTAACTGAATGAAGGGTCGCTGGTTCAAACACATCCGCTGCTGGGTGGGAGAAAAGAACTGGTGATCTGCTCCAATAGAGATTACAGCCTAGAAACCCTATGGGGCAGTTCTACTCTATCCTACAGCATAGGGTCGCCATGAGTTGGGATCAACTTGATGGCACACATCCACAACAATATAAAGCTACAGAAAGCAAGAAGGACGTTACTGATCCAAGGATAGAAATTTAGAAAGAGATCAATGGAACAGACTAGAGAATCCACACATATACTCACCTGGTTTATAATAATCGTGCCTCGGTAATTCAGTGGGGAAAGAGTGATTTTTTAATAATGGTGCAGGATAAGTTGGATATTTGTATGGAGAAAAAAAGAACTTCGACACCTACCTCAATGACACAAAATCTTTATTTGAAATGGATCACAGAGTCAAATGTGAAAAATAAGTCAAGCAAGCATGTGGAATATATATATATATAAATATCTTCATGACTTTGAAATAATCAAAGATATTTTTAACAGTACACAAAAAGCACTATCCATAAAAAAATTATTGACAAATTGGACTTTATTAAACTTCTGTTCATCAAAGAAGTACCACTACCTGCTTTCTCAACAACAAAATAAATAAAATTTAGGAAAAAAAAAACACCACTGATAAAGTGAAAAGACAATCCACAAACTTGGAAAATATATTTATAATTAGAAACATATTTGCAATTGATAAAGACCGGGCTGTGTACATAGGGTTGCTATGAGTCGTCATGGACTCGAAGGCGCCTAAAAACAGCAACAAAGGGCTCATATCCAGAAGTATTTAAAAGTTCCTAAAATTAATAAGAAAAAGATAAACAACCTAATAAAATATGAAAACTATTATAACAGGCACTTCACAAAGAGAATACCCACACAACCCGTAAGCATTTGAGAAGTTACTCAACATCATTATTCATCAAGGAATTGCAAATTAAAATCACAATGATATACCACTGCACTCCCACCATGGCTCAAATAAAAAAGACTGAGGTTACCAAGTCTTAGCAAGGATGTGGAGTAACTGGAATTCTCAGTGTTACTGATGGGAATGTAAATTGGTACAAACACTTTGGAAAACAGTTTGGCAATACCTAATAAATCTCAGCGCGCTTAAATGCTATGACCGAGTAATTCTATCCCTAGATACATCCCCAAATGAAATGAATACTTTTGGCCACCGGAAGACATATACAAGAATATTTATAGCAACTTTACAGTTAACCACTGTGCCACCAGGGCTCCTTACTTTATACATAATACTCCAAGATTGGAAACAGCCCTAATGTATAAATAAACAGTAAAATGAACAAAAAATATGTATTCATCCAATGGACTACTACACCACGGTAAAAATGAACAAGCTACTTCTATAAGGGAAAACATGGATGAATCTCACACACAGGATGAATGAAAGCCATGAGGAGTGAAGGAGGTCAGACACTAAAGACTATGCTTTATAATCCCATTTAAATATATTTCAAAAACAGGAAAAACTAACCTATGGTGATAGAAGTCAAAAATAGTAAGACAGAATTTGGTACTGAGGAGCAGGGCTGCTGCTCTAACAGAGACCTAAAATGCGGAAGCGGTTTTGTAATTGGGTAATGGGTAGAGGCTGGAAGAGTTTTAAGATGCCTAATAGGAAAAGTCTAGATTTCCTTGAAGAGACTGGTAGTAGAATTTTGGACATCAAGTAAAGTGACTTACAAAGTCACACAGCAGTTATGTCAGGACAGAAACTACCCTCTCATGTTACCTTCAGTAGAGAGTGCGTTTAAATTACCGTACCTGTTGCTACATGAAATTAGCTCAGAAATAAAGGGAAACCAATATTGTATTAGGACAGCAGGAGTATGAGTATTTTCCCCTTATGTTTCCTTTAGCAGTGTTTTAAGAAACTTAAAAAAAAAACAAAAAAGGATAAATGAAGTAAGCCTAGGCTCCGAGGTTTCCCCACCTGCCCTAAGCAGATGTAGCCCAGCATGGTGGTTAAGTACACGGGCTCTAGAGCAAAACTGGGCTCACCTTCCAGTTCTGCTGACAACGTGACCTTGGGCAAGCAGCTTAACCTTTCTGTGCCTCAGTTTCCTCAACTGTGATAGTACCTAACTCACAGAGTTGTTCTAAGTATTAAATGAACTAATACATGCAAATCTCTTAGAACCATACCTGGTACACAGTAAGCTCTCAATATCTGTTAGCTATTACTATTAGAATGGAGCCCTGCTGGTACAGTGGTTAAGAGCTCGGCTGCTAACCAAAAGGTCGGCAGTTGGAACCCACCAGTCACTCCTTGGAAACCCTATGGGGCAGTTCTACTCTGTCCTATAAGGTCACTATGGATCGGAATTGACCTGACAGCAATGGGTATTACTATTAGGAAGTGTTATGGATTGAATTGTGTTCCCCCAAAAGATATATTCATGTTCCAACCCCTGAACCTATGAATGTGTCCCTGTTTGAAAGGGTTTTCTTTTGTTATGGAGGAGGGTGGGTCCTAAACCTACTCACTTCTTTGTAGAGTCATATGAGAAGCAGAATAAACACAGACACACACGCAGGGGGACGAGACCAGGTGAGGATCTGTCGCCACGCTAAGGAATGCCAAGATAGGCTGCCAGAAGCTGCGAGACAAGGAATGACCTTCCCCTAGAACAGGCAGCACAGCCCTACAGACACCCTCAGTTCAGACTCCTAGCATCCAAAACTGTGAGACAGTAAATTCCTGTTCTTTAAAGCCGCCCACTGGTAGTATTTTTGTTACAGCAGCACTAGGAATCTAAGACAGGGCATCCTACTTTTTTGTTGTTGTTGTTATACTATTTTTGATAATATTGTCTGAATTTATTTACCTAGTTTATCATGACTACCACCACCACTACCCTCTCCCTAACCCCTACCACAAAAAAGGTATCCAAAATAGGATATTTCCAGAAAATAGTAATGAAGTCCTTGAACACTGAGAAGATTAATTTGCAGTAGTAGGATTTATTAAATACCGTGTGGTTGCCATAAAATGTGTGTTTAACCAAAATTCTAAGAGTTTACCTTCATGTAGCCTCAGAATCCAGTATAAGTAATATTTGTCTCTTGAAAGAGGAGTGGCAGTGAAGTCAGAAGCTTCTTCGAGGCACCCTGGTCAGAAAATGTAGTCTATGCTGGAGGAACGAGAGGACTGCTGATGGAAGGATGACGACCTTTCCCAGCCCTCTTTGGAGACTCGTTTCCTGATGCAAACGAAGACATAGCTGCAACTTTTCTGAAATATTTCTGAGAGATGTTTCTTAAACTTCTCACCCATGAAAGCATAGATAACAGGGTTCACACAGCAGTGAGTGAAGGAAATGGTTTCTGTGACATGGGTGGCATAAATCAGCTGCTGGCTCATGACACATCCATCCAGGATGTGCATGCCATGCAGAGAAGTGAGGAAGAGGACCACATTGAAGGGGATCCAGAAGAATAAAGATGCAATGACCACAATGAGTACCAACCTGATGGCTTTGGTCTTGTTGCGGTTTTGGCAGCCCCTCAGCTGGTGCAGGATGCTGATGTAGCAGAAAATAAGGATAGTGAATGGGATCAATAGACCCAAGATGTTAATTTCAAAGTAGGTGAAGATCTTCCATTTTAATGTCTGCTGATTGTAAGATGAATAGCACTGCAGACTGCCATCCTCAGAGGCCACTTGGTAAAACACTAGCAAGGGGCTGGTGGCAGTGATGGCAGTCAGCCATACTACCAAGCTCAGGGCTGTGCCCACACTGGCTGTCCTCACCTTCATGGCATACACAGCATGGACAACAGCCAGGTATCTGTCCACACTCATGAGAGTGATGAAGAACATGCTGCTGAAGAAGCCAATGTAATAAAATCCAGAGACCACCTTGCACATTACAGTCCCAAACACCCACTGGTCCAGGCGATAGTGGGTCAGAAAGGGGAAGGAGAGGACAAAAAGCAAGTCAGACAGGGCCAGGTTCAAGAGGTACACATCTGTGATGCTCTTCAGCTTCTTGCGGGTGATAAGGACCAGGATGACCAGGCTGTTTCCCAGAAGACTGAATACAAACAGAAAACAGTAAAAGATGGCAAGAAGAAAGTTGCTGCCTCCCTGGATAAGTTCCCCATCACAGGGGCTTGAGAAGACATCAGGATAGTAGTAGTCAGTCTCTGTCACGTTGGGCTGGAGTGTATAATCCATCAAGGCAGGAGGACCTGGGTACAGAGGCATATACGAGAGACTAGTTCCTTAAAAATATTTTTATTAGACAAATTTGGGGAGGGGGATTGATGAGAAAAGACAAAAAATACAAAGAAAACTTAAATACTATAGTTCCACCATCCAGAATTATTTGCAAATCATACTTGCTTTTGGTTCTTTTTTTTCTAAAAATATATTTTCCTTTTAAAGAAAATTATATTTGTTTTTGGTTCTTCTTTCTTTCTTCCTTTCCTCTCTTTCTTTCCTTTATTCCTTTTGCAATAAAGATGAAGCTAAAGTTCCCTCTAACTACACAAGTTATCCCCATGCTCCTGGAGGTAACCACTAACATCAATTTGGCATATATCGTTGCAGTTTCCCCTATACTTCAACAATCTTATGTGTGGATCCATGACAGTATATATAATATTGGTTTGTGTTCTCTTTTAACTTACATTAATAGATACCATATTGTAGCTATCATTTTCTATCTTATTTTTCTTCTTCCAGCAGGTTGTTTTAGAGATACATTCATATGACACTCAAAAGTTTAGTTCATTCTTTTAAATGCTTTCCTAAGCACCAGCAATAAGCTAATTTAAAAATGCAATAGAAAAACATTGATCCAAATCATACTAACAACAAAAATTACTGTGACTACTAAGAATAAACCTGACGAAAACCAAAATTCAATTACAGAAGAAAAAAAACTTAAAATTTGTTGAAGGACATTAAAGAAGACATGATTAAAAGGAAATGTATACTATATTCATGGAAGGGAAAGCTTAACATTTAACGTCACAATTCTTCTCAAATTGATATATAATTTGAATGTAACTTCAACCCAGACTTACCATTTTTCAAGGCAATTATTTACTTTGCATTTAGAGAATGCAAATTCCTCTCAATCCCAAATACAAAATTGAGAATGTTGCAAAGTGCTTTGCAGCATGCCAAGTAGGGGCCCCATAATGGACTGACCATTAGGATACACCCAGTTTATGCCTGTTGACTCAGCATAATCATTAATTATAATTAATTAATTATACCTCACTCTCCTGGACAGTCTTGTGGCGTAGTTTGACTGAGCTGGGATTTTAATACAGGTCTTCTGAGTCCAAAACCGTTAGACAATCCTCTCCACGGTGTCCTCCTTTCTGTATTTGAAATGCCAAGCAAGCAGGCCGTTTTTTAAGACATAAGCTTCATTTGGGTGTACCCAAAATAGATTTTTTTTTTTTTTTGTGGCCAGTATACTTGTGAAACAAGAGTATCTTATCAGATTAATCTCCCCTCCTACGTCTTCCTTTCATTTTTACCAATATTTTAAAAAAAAAAAAAAGCTCACCTTGCTTCTATTCCCCTCTCCTAACGTCCTCGTGTAAGAGTAGACCCTCAGTCTACTCTCTTCCCAGCTTTTTCCTACTGACACCCAGTCCACACTTCCCCCATGCTCTTTTACTAGTGAAATACTTAAAAAGTATTAATATCTACCATTTACTAAAATGGGTCAGGAATTTTAAATGCATTAGCTCAGTTATTCCTCATGAAACCCTGTGAAGCTGACACTACTATCTCCTTTCTGTTTCTGGAGTTACAATTATATCTGAAGCTCAGAGAGGTTCTGCCTCATGCCCCAAGTCACACAGTGGTGATCTGAGAGCTCCAGGATTTGAAACCACATCGCTCTATCCCAAAACCCTTATTCTTTTCCATATTTCTGTATTTTGCACTTGACTAAAGTTTGGCAGTTTGAATCCCCTGCACCCCAGGCTCCATGGAAGAAAGGCCTTTTGAGAACCTGGGTACAGGTAATCAAGCCTGTTGCTGGGAGTGCAGAGTATCTGGGAGGACTATGAGACTTCTTTCGTTCCTTGTGGTGATTTCAGGTGGAATCTTCGTTTGGTGTAAATTAGAGGCTGATGGCAAACAGTGCAAGCTTGACTTGAGCAGCCAAGAGCCATGTGGACCAGAGGTCCAGGCCCAGTTCTGTCCCTTGCCAGATGCATGACTTTGACCATTCATTTCTCAGGACATCACCTTTTCCATCCGTAAAGTGGGAAAACACTACCTACTCCACTGGGAAATTAGCGGGATGAAATTCAAGGGTAAGTAACATGATGGCCTACAGGAGGCGCTGCAACAGTCAGGCAGGGCTTTTTATAAGAATGTGTGAACACTGTTTCCCAGGCTTGGAGTTTCTCAGACTTGGGGCCCCAGAGAACCTCAATGGTCTGGTCTGGCTGTCAGGCCTTAGTAACTCAGGTGCCCCAGGATCACGATCTACCAGGGAGCTTCGTGATGAGTTGTGGACTTCCCTGCTAGCTTGAGGGTTAGCAACTGGATCCTGTGGCAAATTCAGTAATGCAGCCATCAGTTGTGGAATTCATTTCTTTATGCTCAGCTCTGAAAGGGGAAAGCTAGCCAACACTCTCTAATATCCTTACATTTATAAAGCAGAACACTGCACCCACAGTCAAGTTAAACCGACCTCTGAGATTTCCAAAGAAAAATGTTTTACATTTGTGTCACTAAAGGACTCAATCAAATGATTTACCCAGGAGCCAAAAGAAGTCCTCTCCAAAGGACTTAATTTATTAACTGCAATGTCTTAGTTAATTGCAATGCCTCTACACACTCTATGCCTTCTTTATTTGCATTTTTATCTTTATAAAATCTATATATTTTGTGATAGACTCTATGATGTGCTTCCCAGACCCCCAGTCTGAAATGAGCAACTTATTCCCTCAGCTGCTACAGCTGGCCTGTAGCTGCCATTCTCCCTGTGGGAAGTCAGTAATTCTAGTAACTAAAAACAGCTTTGTCTTAGTCACCTAGTGCCGCTGTAACAGAAATACCACAAGTGGATGGCTTTAACAAAGAGAAGTTCATTCTCTTACAGTCCAGTAGGCTACAAGTCCAAATTCAGAGCATCAGCTCCAAGGAAAAGCTTTCTCTGTCGATTCTGGAGGAAGGTCTGTGTCATCAATCTTCCCTTTGTCTGGGAGCTTCTCTGCGCAGGAACCTCAGGTCCAAAAGACACACTCTGCTCCTGGCACTGCTTTCTTGGTGGTGTGAGGTTCCCATGTGTCTCTGTTCATTTCTGTCTTTATATCTCAGAAGAGATTGGATTAAGACACTTTATGTAATCTTGTAAACCTCATCAGTATAATTCATCATAGTGATAGAGTTTACAACACATAAGGAAATCACATCAGATTACACAATGATATAATACTGGGAATCATGACCTAGCCAAGTGGACAGATATTTTGGGGAGACACAATTCAATCCATGACAAGCTTGAAACATGTAAATTCCAGTTCTTCAAAGTTTTCCCAGTCATTACTTCAAACCTCGTAGGGTACAGTCCTAGGGTACCCCATTATGCCAGCATAACTTAAATGTTAAAAATAGCCATTAATGGGGATACCCAGGGCCCCCACCCCACCCTCAACATCCCAGTAGTGCTCTATTGGCATACCCCACCAAACCACAGAAGGTGACTGGGTAGGATGAGTCCCCTAAACAGCAAAAAAAGGGAATATCAGCCAAAAACCCATCATGTATGGACATAGAGCCTCCCTAAAAACAGAATTAGGGTTAAAACACACATGCCCAAGTCAAAACCGTTGGTGGTATAAGCTCCACCCTAAGCTTCACAAAATATTGAGGTGTCCAAAGTCTTGCACCTCAAAACTATGAAATGCCTAGACACCCCACACCAGATAAATCGGTATGCTATCTGATGAGAGCCCCCAAGCTGTGGAACGTTGTCTAGTTGTCAGAGCAGCTGAGTTGAGCGAGCTCCAGGCCGTTTCTTTGGAAGAGCTGGTGGTGATTGAATGTACGTCACAGTCTGTGTGTCTTCAGAGCCAGGATGTAGTAGGCTGAATAATGGCCACGTAAAGATAGCAAGCCCTAGTCCCGGGAATTTAGAAGTGTTACTTTATTTGGAAAAGGCTCTTCGCGGATGTGATTAAGGTAAGTGTCACAAGATGAGATTATCTGGGTGGGCACTAAGTGCTGTCAGAGTGCCCTTATAAAACAGAGGCAGAGGAGGTCTCACACAGATGCACAGAGAAGAAGGCCACGTGAAAAATGGAGGCAGAGGCTGGAGTGATGCGGCTACATCCCGAGAATGCCAGGGCAGCCACCAGCAGCTGGAAGAGGCAAGGAAGGCCTAGAGTTCCTGGACACAGTGTGGACTTGCTGGATTTCAGGCTTCCAGCCTCTAGGACTGTGGGAGGATACATTTCTATAGTTTTAAGCCATCACGCTTTTGGTGATTTGTTCCAGCAGCCACAGGAGAGGCAAGAGGTGATGCCCACACTGGCCTGGGATGTGTCCTGGGCACACAAAGAGAGTGCCTGGTGACTTTGTGTTTGCAGCCTTAGTCCGTTCCTGCATGGCTCTGTGTTCACCTCCCCACCGCCTCCCTCTGCTGCAGCTATCCCGGCCTCATCCTTCTACGCTGGCTGCGCAGTCCTCCACAATGCTTCTCCTGACGCCCATGTCTTCACATTGCTATGTTCTCTGTTGAATCATTTACTGAGAAGTTGCTGTATGCCAGGCACTGGACCAAGTATGGAGGAACAGCAGATAAAAGGTCATAAGGAAATCACAATAGACTCCTTGGGGGTATAAATTGGCCCCAGAATTGCCTCCCCTGCTTAAGTCCAGTTTCTTAGTAAAACTAGGCTTCCACCAAATGGCTTGGCTTTGGTGAGTTATAGGTGGAATTTAGCCCACCCCTGACTTCCCCTCATCACCCACTGAGGTACCTTGAATGAAGCACTGCATCTGTGCCAGGTGCTGTGCTGTAATTCTGTCTCGACCTGGAAATTTGGCTTAGGGGAATTCCACCCTCGTCCCTCAGGGCCCTGCTTAGCTGGGCTGGGGAGGGGAACTCGACTCCCACATACCCCCACTGTCAAAGAGGCGGGTATCATAGTTTCCACAGTTACGACATGAGTTGGCAATTCGTCTGAGCTCTGAGTTACAGCCGACAGCTCACCACTCATCTTTGCTTATCACACACAGAACTTTCTTAAAGGATCTGAGTTTTTCCCCTAAACTACATCAGAACATGAGTGATATTGGTGAGGGTTTACCCAGACATGACCTCAGACCCCAGCAGATATTTCTAAGAGATGAAATTGTTAAGCAAAAGGGACCTGATTCAGGGGTTAGGAAGCAAGAATTGAGAGGAATATATGGCCATTGTGCAATAGCTTCTCAAGAAAGAAGTTGGAAGGTTAACAATGAACTGGATGTCACTGGCACGTGGGGAACACTCTTACCTCCCTCCCTGGTGCTCCCATGACGAATTTCCATATGCTCCCAGTAGGAGAGGTAGTAGCGGAAGGAACAAGTCTGGTTCCTCTTTACCCCTCACTTGCTGCATCTCAAAGGAGGAGGATACATTTCTATGAATGGCAGGTTGGAGAGAGTTTGTCATTTGTCTTCCATTAGGCCATGTTAACCAGAGGGATGGATCCCGTCTCTCTGTTGCTTCATTGGGATGGCCTGAACCCCAAGAAAAGATGCTTGTATCTGTAGACTCTCTGGAAGGTTGACCAAATGGGTTTGTTAGGCCTTTGCCCTTGATATTGAGTGAAACAGGATATTGTCTTCCACGTGGCTGGCTGTCACCTCCACTGGCCCGGTCTCAACAAGTAGACGTAAATCATATATTCATCATTTCACAGTTCTGTTCCTGAAATGCCTGCTGCCGTCACTGTCAGAAAGCACCAGAGGATCAAGCTGGGTGTGTGTTATATGAGTCAAAAATGGCTTCTGCATATTGGCCCCAAGTCATTTACTTCTTCATAGCAAGCTGGGGCCTGTTAGCTAAAAAAAAGCCCTCTGACATCAAACTCAAATTTGTACACATCCAGTTGTTTTAAAAATAGCCCACACAGGCATATTCTTAGCCACTTAGAGCCTGCCTGCTTTATATTCTCCAGGAAAATACACACAACATCTGTTAGCCGTGTTGTTGT